TGTGTGTGTGTGTGTGTGTGTGTGTGTGTGTGTGTGTGTGTGTGTGTGTGTGTGTGTGTGTGAGAGAGAGAGAGAGAGAGAGAGAGAGAAAGAGAAAGAGTTGCCAGCATGGCTGTGAATGTGTACGTACTTTTTGGCCGAACTTGCCACGCCTACGGGTTGCCGGCATCGTTTTGTGTGTGAATCGGGGATGTCCAGATTGCCACGCCTATGGACCTGGGTATTCCGCAAAGTTGCGGGCCCGGTAGGGAGAAAGAGTTGTCGGCATGGTTGTGTGTGTGAATCAGGGAGCCAGATTGCCACTCCTATGGGCCTGGGTATGAGCCCGACTCTTTTAGCCCCTAAGAGATCCCATCCCGTTTGGCCCTTCACCGTGTAAGTAATGCCGAATTGTGTTCTCTTGGCGTCGGAATTGACTTCTCGATACCTGTTGTGCAAGTCGAGTGTGTATATGCTTCTCTGATTGTTCCCTACTGGATACTTCCGGTGCCGTTCCAAGCCAGAGATCCTGGAGTCTGCTACGTTACTATCAATAACATCTTGTTTTATAAAGTTTCTGGCCCAGGAGCTTACTCCAACAACGGCGGCCGTGCTGGACAAAATTCCACAGGTCGTATGGCTGTGAGTGTGTACGTACTTTTTGGCCAAACTTGCCACGCCTACGGGTTGTCGGCATGGTTTTGTGTGTGAATCTGTTACCTTAGCGGGAATTCTCTTAAAATTGGGAAGTCCAGATTGCCACGCCTATGGGCCTGGGTATTCCGCAAAGTTGTGGGCCCGGTAGCGAGAAAGAGTTGTCGGCATGGTTGTGTGTGTGAATCAGGGAGCCAGATTGCCACTCCTATGGGCCTGGGTATTCCGCAAAGTTGCAGGCCCAGCAGGGAGAGGGTAAACCAGGTAAGAATTGGTGCAGGTCCAGCCCTCAATGGTGACGTCCAGATTACAAATTTGTGCACCGGCCTGACAGGGGCATAAAACAAAGAACTCGGCCCAAAAGGGCATTCCTCATATCTTTTAGGGGCATTTTGGCATCCATCTCAACTTATGGGGGTATATCGCAAATTATCCCTTTTCTGTTTTTTTTCCCCCTCATGGCTCTTTTTTAGTGGGCTCATATCTTTTACTAGTTCTGGACTGAGGCGAGCATGTTTTCACATGTACTGCCCACTAACTGTTGAGCTTCCTAGGCCTGCGCACAAATCTTTTGGGACCCTCTATCCCTTTGCCAGCAAATGCCTGTCGCCCTGGCCGACTGGCCCAGGGCCAGTTCACATCAACGACAAAAAATGAATGCTACCAGCCTAGTGGACTAATGGTTTCAGAAGGGGTTGTGATGGGATTGGGGCGTTCGCTGTCTCAGTGTCATCGACAAGCCAACTGTGTGACTCCATGGTTAGGGCATTGTGGAACAGGGAATGAGGGCACAGAACCTGAGAAATACTTCAAAATCGTTCAACATTATCATAATATAAGAAAAACATGTCACTGGCAATAGCCACCCATTATGATCAACTTATGATCATTCTTCAAGAGGAATGTTCATTCTCTGTCAGTGTTACGATCCTGGCCAATTCAAATAGATATATATAGAGTCATAGGCAGTCACTCTTCAGCCGACTATGACCCCTGATGAGCCTAGTGGGCGGCTAGGCGAAACCGGTCGGGTCGCAACGCCGTTTGGAACTTGTTTCCATTCTTGCTCTTCATGATTATCTTTCGTAATTCAGTCACGTTCGGGAAAACTGCCTACTGTCTCTCTCCTTCTCGTCGGTCCCTATGTCCTGTGTTTGCTGTCCTCATCCCTATCGTCAGTCCCTTTGTCCTGCGTCTGCTGTTGCCATGCTTGGTGTTCACTTTAAGTCGTTGCATTGACTGAAAATACTGTTGACCCTGTGTCAATCGTATACTTTAACTCACGGAGGAACCGACATAGAGATTATACTATTGTTGAGTGACTTCGCTTGTACAATGGCGTCTGTCGGTAATGCTAACGCACAAGGTGTACGCGCTTGCTACAATTGCGGCCAACCCGGTCATATATCCCGCTATTGCCCGCTACCTGATCGACGGCTTAATGTGCCGCAGGTACCTGTTAGTAACGCTATTGTCCCTGCTCAGCCCTTGTTGACTGTCCCTTCTACCTCTAATGTGGGCACAGCTGTTCCTTATTATGCTGGTCAGTGTAATAGCGGAGGTAGTGGTCTCGGGCGTCGAGTCAGTACCTTGGAAGAAATCGTTAGTAAGATTAATGGTAAGCACAAAGCTGAAGAGGCGAAGGAACGTTTAAGACGTGAGGATGATGAACGCAAGAAACGTGATGCTGATGAGGAGGACGACGTGTTCGAGATCGGAAGGAGCGTGAAGAACTCCATAAGGAGCTGCATAAGGAAATGACGGGGAAGCTTGATAAAGTCTGTGAAGCCGTTAATGGTAAGAAGGTTGGTGAGAACGAGGAGATTGCCAAGTTACGAGCGCAAGTGGAGTCTCTGGTGCGCCAGCAGAATGGATCGGAGAAGACCAAAGACAAGGCGCAGGATGAAATCGCACGACTCAAGGCTGAGATTGAGCAACTTCGTCGCGGCCATCCTGGCGCTAGTACTTCTGCCACTGTTTCCAAGCCTAATCATGAAGCTGAGGAGCTGTCTCGACTTCGGACTGAGCAAGCTGAGGCAAAGGCGGCTAGCGATCGGAGATTCGCTTCTCTTGAAGAAGTCATCGTTGCACTTCAGAGACAGTGTGAAGCAGTCGAGGCGAACGCTGATGTGTGGCGGTCGGAAGCCCTTCATCCGGGCAATAAGAGAGGGAGTGTCGCCATTGGAACCACTCCAGTCTCCGACGCACGGGTAAGGGCGAGGGTAGCTTCCCCCAACGCTGGACGTGTTAACTTGGAGCTGAAAGGCATCGTGGAACGTCACCAACTGGAGGTCGATCACCTTAAGGAAATGCGATTACGTGAGATTAATGCGCGGCGAGAATCTGAGGAGGAGGTCGAACGTTTGAAGGAAGCTATGGCTAAACTGGGAACCGGTGTCAAAACCAAGGGCACCAATCTGAAGTCCAAACTCGATGCTGCTGCTGGGGTTTCCACGAGGAAAGCCTCTGTACGGATTGCGGATAATGTTGTGGATGCCTCAGGAAGGAAGTGTCACAAAGTAGCGAAGAGTCCGGCCGTTCAGATCAACAGTCGAGACGCCTTTCTGCGCGATGTACGTAAAGACTTGCGGAAGAAAAACAAGGAGGAAATCTTGTCCATGTGCGAGAAGGAGGGAGTCGTTTATTCTACGTTGGAGCCTACTAAGGAAGCAATTGCACAAGTGCGTACTGCTCGTGCCTTTGATAAGGACGAGCGTGGTAAAGGTAAGGTCGACTCTGTCGTTGATGTGAGCGATGAGGCGGGCGGCAACTCCGATAAGGAGGACAGGCGTGACTCGGCTTGCTCTTAGGGTCACGCCCGAACGCGGCTACGATATGGTCTATTATTCATTCCATTTGTGTTTTTCGCTCTTCTTCGATTGATCTATTGCGCAATTCTGTCGTTAATTTGTTCTTATCTATGGCGATATGCTGTTTGATTCTTCTTGGTGAGATTCCATGGGGTAATTATCTTTGCGGTTTTCTACTTCGTGCCTTCTTTGCCGCTAGGGAGTCGAACGTCGATTGGTGGCATGGTCCTTTAGTGTATGCATTGGTTTCTCCATGGTCCCGTCACGTCTATGTCGGTAGCACTTCCCGTGATTTGTCATCTCGCTGGCGAGAACATGTTTATCGTACGTGCGGCTCTAAGTTGGTTGAAGGAGGGAGACGTAATGAGAGGTTATATTGATGGCTTCGTCGCTTCGGTGCCCATTTCTATGCTATCGTTCTCTTGTGTCGTTGCTCGTCTGACGATCTGTTGGAGACTGAAAAGTTTTTCATTCGATTACTGTCACCAGCTTTAAACGTTAGAGGTAAACCTCGAAGGTCTAGGAAGTGTCGACCGGGCGCTAGGGAAAGAAGAAGGAGGCGCATGAAACTAGGTGAGAGGTGTGATGACGTGGCGATTCGGCATAATTCTGTGTGTTTTTTTGTTTCTAGCTCTGGTACCGAGACGGTAAGTTTGTTGAAAGTGTTGAATGAATGTTATAAGGCTGGACGAAATCGTGTTGTCGTTTCATGTCGTGGAGGCGATCGGCTGGTTGACCAATGGAAGGTGGTCAAACGAATATTTGGTGCTAGTCTGGTTTCCTGCGAATTCGGTACACGGGAGCTGCGTTTCGCTCGATCATGGTTAACAGGAGGTGTTACGTTGGTGTTCCAGTCTGTCGTTTTCTTTTTTAGTCGATCCGCTGCGCTGAAGGAACCTCTTCGGGGTTTTTTGGCCAATCCAACTAGTCATCAGTTACTTGTTTCATGGGACTTTGACCAGCTAATCGCTGCATACTCAGCGGCTCGCACCTTTAGTGAGAAACGCGCTAGATTCCGACTGCGTTTGATGTTGTCTCACCATATCCTGGGCAGATTTGGGTTGCATGTTAGGCAACGATTGATTGTACATGTTGTTTACGACGATCGTATCTGCAAAACCAAGGTTCGCAAAGCCTACATGAAGATCGTTGGTATGATGAATATCCACCAATCTTGGAAGGGTATGCTCTGTCAGCGAGTGCGTGTTGTGTGGTGCAAGAATCGAAGCGTCGGAGACTGCTTGCATAACTTTCAGACTTTTTGTAAGTTGGATGTTGTTGGTTGCTCCTGTGATGGGTGTGACGAATCCCTACTGCGAGTTGACGGTCATGTGTCCTTCCGTATTAACGATGAAGTCTCGTTGTTTCCTTTTTGGATGCGGAATTCCAAGAACGTTCTCATACCCTCCCATGCTCGTTCGATTGGTAATCTGCGGCACGATCTACTTTCTGCTTTCTCTTCTCATCCGTCCCTCCCTCCCGTGGACTCCTCGCTGACTGACGAACTTGTAAGTGGTTGTTTTCTCGATTCTGGGGCTTCTCTTCCTCAATCGATGAATGTCGATGATTTGCGACCTTTTTTATTAGCTTCTTTGTGGTCTTGTATGTTGCCCCATAGATCACAACCCTGGGGATACCTTCGTTTGTTGTCCTCTGATCTACCAATCGGGAATGAAGAAGATTTTTTTTGGGAATCCTTCTTTCTGTGCGTGCTCGTTGGATGAACCTGCCCTACTTCGGCAGTGTGAACTGGATTACGCTCGGTCTGAGTTACGCAATGTGGGGAAATGGAAGAAATCTGGTAGTTTTGGCAATGCTTATTGTGTCCCGAAACACAAGGACGTTTCGCGTTGGAGACCTATCTGTCCGTCCTACCCTGAGTGCTCAGCGGTGGGGGGAAGAGTTGTTTCACGTTGTGTAAATACTCTTCTATGGCGACGTCCGACGGACTCTAACTTCAACCTTCGGAGTGCAGATGACCTGCTTGCCAAGCTGGGAAAGATCAACAAGTCTCTGAAGGACGACAGTGTGCTGGTGGGTGCATCCTTCGACATCAAAGAAATGTTCTCAAATCTACCTCATCACTCGATATTACAGGCTCTGAGATGGGCTATTGACTTCTGGGAAGAAAGAGGTTTTGAGGGTGTGTTCATTCGTAAACACGGAAAGGAAGCTAAATTGTCAACTGGGAGATTGGAAGCAGGATGGAGGGGTGTTTCTTTCATGCATATCTATAGGTTTATCGAGTTTGAGCATGGTCATACCTTCGTCTCGGCATCAGGCAGGTTGCTGCAGCAGGAGATCGGCATTCCTATGAGGAAATCTTCCAGCCCGGCTCTTGCTTGTTTATTATGTGCGTACAATGAATTTCTCTTTATCTCGAGTCTTGGCAAGGATCGTATTCTGTTTTATGGTCTGCGATTGGTAGACGATGTTTCTGTCTTTGTGGTTGGCAAGCGTGGTGATAGTGATTCGCAGGTCCAGGGGCTGCGTTTGATCGATGCGTTTAGTCAATGTTATGATGGCAATCTGACTTTGGAGAAGACCAATGTCGATATCTGTTGGGATTTCTTGGGCTGCGTATTAAAGATCTTTGATGGGAAGAAGGGGGGTTTGTGTTTTCCAATGATGAAGAACCAAAGGGAGCGAGTGGATGGGGAGATTAAATTTCAGAGTCTTTAGGAATTTTCGTCATTCACTAGCAGACAATAGAAAATGGCGGTGATTGGAGCTTTCTTACATCGTGCTAAGTCATATTCGTCTATAAAAAGCATGGTTTTTCCTTTCTTATTTGCATTGAAGATTGAACTGTGGAAGCGATCGTACCCTCATGAGTTTTTTTATCGTTCACTGGTGTGCTTTTCTAATAAGTTTGCAGGGTTATGGAGGGAGTGGATTCTCGTGTTGACGAATTGGGACCGGTTTCTTTGCGGAACGAAAAAGGGGTCTCGTTGGTGGTATGGACCCTCGATTTAGGGGGTTTGTCTATTGATGAATGTTGAGTTTGGTGGCCTTTCGGTCTGAGATTGAGATCGATGGAATAGATGATTGTTGATAATTCTAGGACTTGATGCTTTGTTCACAGTTGTTTTTTGTTGTTTTTTCGTATGGTGTTTCTATGGCCCGGGGGAACTTTGGCAGTACGTATGGAATAATTCACTGTTTCTTCGGGGGCAGGTAGTCGATTCAAAGTTTGAACCCTTGACGTTCTGGGGGGTCTCTCGTTTTTTCGACAGGAAAAAATTCTTTTGTTCGATTTGAGGGTTCGTTTGGGTATTGGTAAGACCGGTAGTCGATTCAAGGTTTGAACCCTTGACGTCTTCCGTGGAGATTGTTTTCTCGGATGAGATTCGTTTTCGTGTCGATGAATCTTGAGGTCTTTTTCGATTGTGTGAGTGATACGCACTTGGTCCTTTTGGTATGTGTGATTCCTCGGAACGACTCAGTCTTTTTAAGGACTTAACTTTTTTAGTCTGTTTCTTTTAGTCTGTTCTTTCTGTTTTCACGTAGACATAGAGTAGGAGCAGATTAATTTTGTCTTCTCTGGACGTTACTGGAGGTCTTCCGCGGCTACCTCGGTTCGGTTGATACGGTCTGCTGAGATGTCCTTCTTCGATTTTGTAGATATATATAGAGTCATAGGCAGTCACTCTTCAGCCGACTATGACCCTTGATGAGCCTAGTGGGCGGCTAGGCGAAACCGGTCGGGTCACAACGCCGTTTGGAACTTGTTTCCATTCTTGCTTTTCATGATTATCTTTCGTAATTCAGTCGCGTTCGGGAAAACTGCCTACTGTCTCTCTCCTTCTCGTCAGTCCCTATGTCCTGTGTTTGCTGTCCTCATCCCTATCGTTAGTCCCTTTGTCCTGCGTCTGTTGTTGCCATGCTTGGTGTTCACTTAAAGTCGTTGCATTGACTGAAAATATTGTTGACCCTGTGTCAATCGTATACAATTCAAAGTACAAATTCATAAGAAAGCACAATGTCGTCCAATTGCAAAAGAAATGAATGAACGTGAGAGGAGGGAGAGGGACAGAAGAAGAAGAAGAAGAAGATGTACATCAGCAAAGTCCAATGATAATTCTCTACTTCTCGCCAACCACTCTCCTCCTCTTTTTCTCCTCCCGTCTTAATTCACAATAAATAATAATAATAATAATAATAATGTTGTATGGCTGAACCAGAATCAATGTCCGAATCCCTTGCCTCTTTCCAATGTAGCTCTACCAAGCCAGATAAGTAACCCTGTCACTCCCCCTTCCTAGTCCCCTCTTCCTCCTCCTCCTACCTGAGCTCCTCCACCATAGCCAAGGTGGGGAGCTGGGTGACTTTCATGCCCCCCGCCCTCCGAGCAACCGATACCTCCTCCCATTCTGGAGGGAACAGCATTGCAGACCTTGATATTGCCCGCACAGGCCCTAGACTCAGACTACTTTGGTATCTCCTCCCATTCGGAGGGAACAGCATTGCAGACCTTGATATTGCCCGCACAGGCCCTAGACTCAGACTACTTCGGTACCTCCTCCCATTCGGAGGGAACAGCATTGCAGACCTTGATATTGCCCACACAGGCCCTAGACTCAGACTACTTCGGTACCTCCTCCCATTCGGAGGGCATTGCAGACCTTGATATTGCCCGCACAGGCCCTAGACTCAGACTACTTTGACTGGTACCCGCCTAGGCCTAGCCTGCAACTACTGGGCCTGTAAAAATGTCAACTTTTGTCTTCTTCTGCTCGACCTCTAGTACCCGACACATCTACGACTACTTGGTGTGGTACCGGCCTACCTGCTACTCGAGTGTTTTTCCCGCTGCTCCAAGTGTCATGGGCCAACTCCCGCCACTTGAGTGTTTTTTCCGCTGCAAACCTCAAAGTCACGGCCACAGGTAAGTAATGGCCCTTCGGGTTTCCCGAACGAACAAGTGCCCTTACGGGTCACACACACACTCAAGCCGACAAGCACTCAGCCAGACACGCTGACCATCAAGCACGGACACACACAGCATAGCAAACTTAGCAACATCCG